ATTAACATCTTTATTTGAAATCCAATCTGCTGGTTCTACATAACACAAGTACAGTTGTATATAAAAATAATGCCAAATTGGCATTAAATTCTTTCAGCGTTTAGCAAGAAACTATGTATATGTTTTATTAAAAAATTAAATCATTCTATAAAAAAATGTGATAATCACGCCAGAACAACTGATTATATCCTCCTGGAATTGACCAATTGGGTTATTGCATTGCGGTTGAAAGGGATGTCCGAAAAAGCATGTTTTTGATGCTTTGTTTTTCCGAACTTTACATAATACATTTTCATTTCGAACGAGTGGATTGCGCAGCTTTATTTATTTATTTAAACAAAGCATGATGTTTTGTTTGACGATTTATTTATTAACAACTTTATACAGAAAAATTTGGAAAAATTAAATTCTTTTATTGTTTATTAAAAAGAAACTAGGTAGTTTTAATTAGAAATTTGCATTTAAGAGCCAATTTAAGTAGATGATACAGTGATTTGATACACACTGTACAGTTCCGCACAGCAGATCAGTTATGATGGTTTAGCATACTGTCGGAGCCGTGAAACGTTTTAATTTTTCTACGATATTTTTACATTAAATAGTCATATATAAAAAAAATCATCAATGCAAAACATCAATGAGAGCAAGAATAATAAAAGCAACCGAATACTTAAATTTTTGGAGAAGGACTTAACCAAGAATATTTCTGAATATTCTGACACTATCAAATTCCGATTTGTCAGTTTTTCCTAATGATGTATAATAATGTACGACTTACATTTCATGGACTTTTAGTTTATAAAACCTATATTATTACATTGCACATAGAAAATCTTTATCAGAATTTTTACTTGTCTTGTGGTATAATTGTGTGGAATCTCCTAATACAATGTGTATACAATATTATGTGTAATTGTTATAACGTAAGAAATATTTTTAAATGTATTTTATGTATCTTTTTGTGTTAATTTTTCGTCTTGATTTGGAAATAAGCTGGAGTAACATAATCGTTCAAATCGAAACCTCTCATGAATTTTAATTTTATAATATTCTGAGTTTTAAGTATAAATTTTTTGCTTATATTATTTCGTTTGATTTCAAGATTAGTTTGACTCCTTTGGACGATTGCAAACCTTGGGTCGGTTCATGAGGTATGAAAGAGAAAACCGGTAATACCTCAAAGGGTTTCTGGCCCTTTTAAGCTCTCTTTGCCGTGGCTAATGAAAATTGTTGTTTGACTTTTAAAAGGGCTTAATTAATTTCCCTTTATCCATTTTTCTTATTCGTCCGAGAATAATATCGGTAGGTTTCTTCCGACCGGATGCAAATTGATTTTCAGTTCAAATGGAATTAGAAGAGAATTCGCGGTTGAAGAAACTCTCAAAACACCTCTTCAACAGGCTTACGTCAAAAACAACTCGGGGGTCTTTCCGCCAAAAATTACCCAGTATTGAAAAGACTTTTTTGAAAAAAGTTTACCCGACAAAAATTCTACCATTAAAAAATTAAAACTAAATCAAAAATTAAAGAGAGCATTAAATAAGAACACTTAACAAACTTGTGAGAAAGTTTGAAAGAAAGATATTTAATAAAGAGATTTATTGAGGGTGTCTGTGGCCGCAACGGATCGAGCATTGATACGGCACTCATCACTGTAAGGTAAAGGTCCCGGGTTCAAACCCAGCGGCCCTGCATTCAAACTCGTTCTTTAAAATGAGCTTTTATTTCAAAAATCACCTGCATCCAGAGGTTCATATAACGTCGTAGTTGAAATACTTCCGTTAAAAAAGAAATTTAATGATTAAATAATGATGCTAATAGTTTCTCTTTTCGCACGAATCAGTGCTTATATAAATAATCCACACTTAAAATAACTGAAATTTGTGAGATTGAACTTAAATTGTACTAAAACATTCTTATCAGCTATTGATTTATTCACAAAATCTTTGAGAATAATATGTCAAATGTTTTTTAAGTGCTATAGTTATGTTAACTAATAATAAATATGATTTGGAACAACAAAATTGTGTTTTTTTTCGCAAACTTTTAGATAGAAGTGTAGCCTTCCTTTCATAAAGAATGAATTACCAACCTGTCTTCGTTTTCTCCAGTGCATTCTACCTAATATGTATATTGTATGTACTTTAGTCTACTCCAGCGTTCAGATGCCTTCGCCTAGCCGCGCAAATCCGTTCTCTCGTCCAAAAGCCGAGCAAATGTAATATTTTATTCCGTTCTTGACAGCAACAGTAGCTTTCATCTTAGCATTTTTTGCAATTTTCCCTAATAATAAATAATGTTTATGCTATCATCTCATCAATATCTGAATACTGCATATGTACATACATTCATACGAGTACAGAGCGAAACTTCTCTCATCCCGCCGTTATTTATTATTTATTCACAATAAATTACCGAAAGGCCGGGAGAATCACCGATCCTCAGTTCGGGGTCAGATCTCCTTCTTCATCATTCAACCAGTTAGGGTGGTGAAGTACTCGATATTTCTCCATCACACTTTACACCTATTATATAACTAGCCTAATTAAGGGTCAATTCAATCCCAAAACTATCAATACTATACACAATAAAATAGACCTGTTTCCAGAAAAAATCGGAACAAGAGACTCAAATGCTCGCTGCTGTGCTTAAGCAGGGTTCGCATATCGGGTGGCAATCCTACACCCTTTCTATATTCATCCAAGGAATTTCAACCTTCAATTCGATGGGACACATCGAGCAACCTTTCACTCCATAGTATCCGAATGGATGGAAGTCACGCTAGCTCAAGTTGTAGAGCAGCGGCGTATTTAACCGTCGTGGGTTCGAATCCCGCTCGTGGCACTAACTTTTTCATTTCATGACAATTAATGAAGGTTTTTAGTTGAGATGAAAAAAGTTAATGGCACGAGAGGGATTCGAACACAGACCTTAAGATATCGTGATTTCGATTCACTCGGACACCAACTTCTCATCTCAACCCCACCTTATGAGTTTTCCCTCCTTTTGCCATTTTTCAATGGGGTTGAGATGGGAAGTTGGCGTCCGAGTGGATCGAGGTCACGATAGCTCAAGTGGTAGAGCAGCGGCGTGTTTAACCGAAGGTCGTAGGTTCGAATCCATCTCGTGCCATTAACTTTTTTCATCTCAACTAAAAACCTTAATTAATTGTCATGTATTAATTGGTCAAGCGGACCACGAAATTAGTGAATTAATGGTTTAAAAATGAAGTACACTTCACTAAAGCTCTCCGTCGCCATTTCATTTGTCGTCGATAATCTAAACCGATTACACGACATTTGAAAAATGGCAAAAAGGAGGGAAAATTCGAAAGGTAGGTTGGCGTCCGAGTGGATCGAAATCACGATATCTTAAGTGGTAGAGCAGCGGCGTATTTAGCCGAAGGTTGTGGGTTTTTTTTGCTTTATGATCTTTGCATATTAGCCATGACGAATTTCTTATATATGTTGTTCAAATTGGGGGTTATCGGGAAAAAAGGGCCAGAGGCGACGGTGGGAATCGAACCCATGACCGCGGCGTGAGAGTCTCTCATGCTAATCACTCGGCTACCGCGGTCCCCAAAGGTTGTGGGTTCGAATTTCGTTCGTGACCCTAGCTTTTTCGTTTCAACCAACACCTTACCTAAAGGTATAATCTAATAACGATAATAATAATATTAACAATGTAACAGCAATCTTTACGGATTTACAAGTCAAATAAATGTAGCTACAATACCATTCATTGGGTTTTGTTTATGATATTCTTGGTATTGTTTAATTAGGTTTATTTTGTAAAGTTTTATTACTATTGCGTTAATCATGCAGATTTTTCTAATATTAATTTACCGTAATAGTTAATTAATAGAAGTCATAAAAATGAAAGAAAAGGAAACTTGCTTATTATGTTCTGGGAGAAGTTCACCCTTAAGAGTTAATTAAACGAAAAAATAACAAAATGAAACTGAAAAAAAAACATTTCCCTCTTATTGGCCTTAAAAAGAACGGATTATTCATAATGAAAAATATAATGTTTATAATATATTCATAATCATAAAAATACGCTTTTTCGAAAAAATGTAGTTCACAACGTGAAACGTTTGGCAATCGAATTGTTTTTTATGCTTATTTTGACACACACACACATACACACACACACACACATATATATATATATATATATATATATATATATTTTACTTTACCATTTCTATTTATGATTGAAAATCAAATACGACTGTTCAGTTTACTAGGATCTTTAGACCAAGGATTAGAATTCGCCATTTGTCAGAAGATATTGCATGGCTAAAAATGCAGAGTTGATCGACCCAAACTGTATTCACCGCATTTCACTTTCGTTCATCGTCATACCGATTCTCTTTACATATTTAACACTCAACGTACAGTTTGTTTGTTGAAAGTTGTTTGACACATGAACTCTTTCATTTCCGATCTAAAAAAGTTCAACAGCCACTTCGCTGACCGCATCTGTCGTGTTGTCCATTCCCTAAGGTGCACAGAAGTTCCACAGTCCCCTACAGACTTTTCAACTTTTATTAAACATATCCACATGCGATGTTAATAACTTTTGGTGTAACATAAAAAATAAATATTAAATGACTAAAGTTAAAAAAGCTTCTTATTTAAGGCTGAGAGGGGAAGTTGGTGTCCGAGTGGATAGAAGTCACGATAGCTCAAGTGGTAGAGCAGCGACGTATTTAGCTGAAGGTCGTGGGTTCTAATCCCGCTCGTGACACTAACTTTTCCATTTCAATCAATACCTTACATAAAGATTAATTAATTGAAAGAAGTGATTTGGTCAATCGGAACACGAAATATAATGGACTTCTCATTTAAAATAATGAAAACTCTTTTATTTTTTTATCCAGACAAGATATAACAGTTGAGCCTTAACGATTGATAACAACACTTTTAACTATTAGTTCTGTACTAAATAAGCAGTAAAACGAACCGACTGAGCTAATGATGTTATTTAAATTTTTTCCAGTACCCTTGCAGATGGAGAGTTTATTTGCATTTTTATCTGTCCCCATAATGATTACAGATTGTCAGTAAGTACTAAAATTTTTACCACTTAATTTTATTGTTGAAATCTTATTAGGTATATTCTTATTGCTGGTTTGCACTACAATAAATCTTAAAAGTCTTAGCGTTAAATATTTTTTTAAAATTAAATTAAATTAATGTTACTATCACTATTTAATAATTATTTCAGAACATTTCCAAACTATTTGATTTATAAATTGTTCAAACTGTGTCCAATGTTCTTTTGCTAGACTCCGTAAGTCTGCAGGCCAGCCGCTTTCTGCCAGAGTGACATGCCGAATCAACAAATACAGGGTGAATTGCTACTCGTGCTACAAACTTCTCCAGTAGATTCTTCACCCTAAAATGAACAAAAAAGTTCATATTGTCCATGGTCCGATTCTCAACCATTTCTGAGTAATTTCGCTTTTTATCGATTTTGAAAGATATCACGTCCTGGCGTCGGAAAATCGTGATATCTTTTAATCTAAACATTTCTCTTAAAATCTATAAGCACCGTTGAAATCCCCGTTAATTTTTAGAGAGAATCAAAATCATAATTCCATTGAAATTTTTTAATTTAATTTAATGCCCATTTAGTATGTAATGCTTAAGAAGTTTACAAACAGCTAGAAGGTCAAGGAAGAAAGACCCAAACGTTTTGCCACCTTCATCTTCTTATTGAAAAATTAACGGGGATTTCAACGGTGCTTATAGATTTTAAGAGAAATGTTTAGATTAAAAGATATCACGATTTTCCGACGCCAGGACGTGATATCTTTCAAAATCGATAAAAAGCGAAATTACTCTGAAATGGTTGAGAATCGGACCATGGTCAATATGAACTTTTTTGTTCATTTTAGGGTCAAGAATCTACTGGTGAAGTTTGTAGCACGAGTAGCAAGTCACTCTCAAACATTAGCAATCCTTGAACCACCATTTTTTCTCTTTTTGTCATCAACATCTTGGTCTCACAACCACTAAATAAGAAAATGACGAGTGCGTTGGAAGCGTTATTAAATCAGGTAGTTTTCCTCAAATTTGCTGCCTTCTGAGACTAAAATTAGAAACTCTGGATTACTTTATACACTTTCCGATTTACACAATTTTCCACTCTTTTTGTAGTTCTGGCTGAAATAAAACACAAAAAATTAGCCCAAACATTTTGCCACCGTCATCTTCTTATTGAAAAATTAACGGGAATTTCAACGGTGCTATTAGATTTTCAGAGAAATGTTTAGATTAAAAGATATCACGATTTTCCGACGCCAGGACGTGATATCTTTCAAAATCGATAAAAAGCGAAATTACTCTGAAATGGTTGAGAATCGGACCATGGACAATATGAACTTTTTTGTTCATTTTAGGGTGAAGAATCTACTGGAGAAGTTTGTAGCACGAGTAGCAATTCACCCTGTATATCTCTTGGTCGAACATCTGGCATCTGAAAAGTATGTGGTGCCATAATTTGGATGTTCCACTGTTTGCGCAATTAGGGTTATTAATGATATTCGTTCGATGTAGTGCCATGGTACTTTTAATAGTGGGACTTATATTTATTATTTAAATTCATTCAATGGTTGGAATGCAGGCATTGGTGTGGATTCCTTTTATCATCTCTGTCCACACATTTTCTAATGCCGTTATTGACCTATTGACTAAAATTTCACATTGGTACCCGCGAGTAGGTTATTGGCAAGCTTTCATCGTATGTATATGCAGGATCTTTTGCAATTTTATCTGCCATTTCGTTTCTAGCGTGTGCTTTAAGCCAGCGCCATCCCACCTGCCAATTCTGCTTGCAGTTTCTTACTCGTTGCCCGAATTATTATTCGGAGATCGCGAGATGCGGTCTGGTGTGACGTAGGTTTTCGAAAAACATTTTCTTTATCGTGCCAACGTTTCGATCTTTATTGAGGTCATCTTCAGGTCTCAACGTGTTTTCTGTGTAGATGTGTCATTATTGGATGTCGTGTTGAGAGTGCCCAGATGATCTCAATAAAGATCGAAACTTTGGCACGATAAAGTAAATGTTTTTCGAACACACCAGACCGCATCTCACGATAATAATCATTAACTAACGGTCACTAAACACCACACATTTCTTCAAAATTATGATTTCGGTGTTCCATGAGCATGTCCAATGATACCGCACTGTCTGTGTTTATCATAGCAGTGTTCATAGGTAGAATCAAAAGGTTTTCTGGGGTGCTTTTTAATAACTATTTTATCGCATGTATCAAGCTAGAATTTCTACTTGGTTGTCACCTCGCCACTTTAGCGTGCATATGCATTTCCGCTTGCGTGATATACTACAGCAGAGCAACCCCCAGATAAATATATGCCGGATCGTTTAGTTGATTTAAATGAAATTATTATTTTACTAATAACTACTATTTCATTATTCAGTTTAGATGCAAAAATTAGGTGTGTCTGAAATATAAGACTTCATTCACCAAGGACACTATTAATAACTTTTGTTTATCAAAGTTTTCTCTGTTTGGTGAATGTTTGTTGATAATTGCCTAAGAAGTGAACGTTGGCGAAAGTTAGTAAAAGTTAATTAAGCGAGGTGCAAATGAGGGTGGGAAGTGATAGTTTTTATTAAATTATCGTTTTTATTAGAAACAGAAATCATGTTAGCTTTGACCAATATGAGTACCCAGATATCGGGCTTTGTGCTTATAAAGCTTCTTAAACATTAAAGTTACTCTGATTTGTCTGAGTTGTATACGTGCAATACAGAATATGTACATTAAAAAAATCATGGAAATAATTAGCTACACCCTTCTCTAAAGGGACATTGGTTTAAATCGTTCAAACAAATGACAGTTAAAAAAATTATATGTTCAGAATGATTTACCTTTTTTGGCTAATCTAGTCACTTTGTTATCAAATCTTTTCCTATTTATTTTTCATCTTGTTTTCCATATAATGCTTGGCAGAAGGCTTTTTTTTTGTCATCAGAAATTCCACCCTCATTTTAGGGTTGCTCTGTTTGTCCTAAAGGAGGCGGTTTACAGGGTAGATAAGGGTGGAGGTAAGTGGGTAGCCTTCCATCCGGAGATATCGGCTAAGAGGATCTGCCGTTATCTTACCGTTGGTGTTCAGCGGCCCCATCTGGCTTAACAACAACTTACCGGTTCATGAATAAACTCGGTTAGCGGTGCACAGGTGCTCCCGCCTTAGGGCTCCACCCAATCCGAAATCTCTGGCAATGGACTTTAATACATTCTATTTAGATTTGTTAATTCTTAATTGGCCATTCCCAGTTTTGGTGATTCCAGGTTTGCCTGCGAACTTTGGGTGCGGAACATGAACTATTATGAATATGCAATGCTCGTTTGAATTAATAAATCGCTTTTATCCAATTTTACATTAATAGCTGATTCTTAAAATGTAAGAACTCTGTTTAGGATTGTTTAAAAAAAATAGATTTTCTTTTTTCCCCACTCTTTTCAATCAGCGTTATTGTATAATTAAACTATGTTTAGAAAAATAGTTGTGCATCTGCGTGTTTTCCTTGTTTTTCTGATCGTAATTTAATTATACAGTAATGCTAGTTATAAAAATAGAGAAAAAATATGGAAACAGAAACTGTGTTAAATTATTATATTAGGGGTATTGAAGGTAAGGTGTTAACTCGCGTTAACTCGAAATGCGAAATGTCCAGTAAGATCGTGAACGCCCCCTTCTTTTCTGAGATGCTGCGCGTGTCGACTGGTAGAACCAAAAATAAAGCTATAACAATCCTTGAAGGCTTGTTGCTGTTTGTTTTGGTTTTTTTTGTGTTAAATTGTAAGATGTCAGAAGTCAATAATAATGGAAAATTAATGAAGTCTTTCATTCAAAATGCTAACTATGCACTCGAAAAGTACTAACCAATGAGAGGCTTCAATTCGTGCCGACATACCTAACTTGTATCCTAACTAGTGACGTACGATACCAATCGATATAAGTAAAGTATCGAAAGAAAATTCTTTCGATACCGAGTAATTTTGGAATCGAATATTGTCATTCGATACAAGTACTGTATCTAAACGTTTTGTAGTATCGGAAAATATACTCAAATAGATTTTTCGTTGAGTGTTCAAGCAATATAGAATTGTTATTTACCGTTCGGAACAAACCTCTCATCAAACTGGGAATTGACTAGTTACTTGTGTGATGATTAGAGACCGTTAGTCGATGATTATTCAGAAATCGTGAGATGCGGTCTGGTGTGATGTAGGTTTCAGAAAAATCTTTTTCTGAAACCTACATCACACCAGACCGCATCTCACAAAAATCTGAATAATCATTGACTAGTTACTAGTTAGAGCGCCTACTAGCGGCATATACCAACAAAGATAACCTAGAATTTTAATTGGTGGTTGTCATAATTCTTTCCCGCATCGCACCTTCCACTTTTAATTTCAGTAATTTATTATAAAATGTGTTTGTCATTAGGTCCCTAAAATGTGTTCGCCTTCCTTCTCGTAGGTAGATACGAGATCATGTCTCCTCCCAAAAGTAAGACATGAGGTTATTTTACTAAGAAAACTGAATCGTTGGCATCTTGTAAACTCAAGGGAATACAGTAGGAATAAGTCTTGTCTTTTGAAACATTTGAAAACCAAATACCCGTCGATCAATTTTCTCAAAACTGGATGACGATAAAATTTAAATATTCTTACCTACGTACCCACTGCATGAAAAAATACTTAAAAAAACATCAACTGCAATCTTGATTATTTTAACGCATGAGCGTATTTTAACCAAAGTCCACAATAGTAAGTTGATCATTTATGAATAAACGAAAAAGTACTCATATGCGTAAGGACTCATTAGAATCGAATAATTTCTGTCGATACTTGAGTAGTATCGAATATTTCTTCCGATACCAATATCGAGTACTGGTATCGAATATTTTCGGGTATTGCACGTCACTAATCCTAACGTCTAACAGCCTGCAACTTTATAGGATATGGAATATATATTTTACGAATGAGAGTATAACGACAGGTCAGAAATTAACAAAAGAAAT